CATGCTGAGGCGGTGTCCCACATAAAGTGGAGGAAGATGGGCACAGATGTTAGCTCAGGGCCAGTCTTACTCAGCAAAAAGAGGAGGATTGGCATGGATGTTAGCTCAGGGCTGATCTTCCTCAAAAAATAAATAAATAAAAATAAAAAATAAAATGGGGATAAGATTACCTATCTCATTGAGGTGTTTTTTTGGGGGGGGCTGTCAAATAATACATGCAATATACTTAGCACAGTCAGTATCTGGTACAGAGTACCAAAGTATTCAAAATATGTTCTTAGGTTTTATAGTGGTGGTGGTAGTAGAGTAATGGTGGTAGTAAATGGTAAGAAAAGAAAGTTAACAATGGTGAAAACTGAAAGAGTTTCTACATAAACCTTTACAATGAGAAAGAGTAAATAGGGGCCAGCCCAGTGGCATATCGGTTAAGTTCGTGCGCTCCGCTTTGGCAGCCGGGGGTTCCCAGGTTCAGATCCCAGGCACGGACCAACGTACCGCTTGTCAAGCCATGCTGTGGAAGCTTCCCATATAAAGTAGAGGAAGATGGGCACGGATGTTAGCCCAGGGCCAATCTTCCTCAGCAAAAAGAGGAGGATTGGCATCGGATGTTAGCTCAGGGCTAACCTTCCTCACCAAAAGAAAAAAAGAGTAAACAACTACACTACATCCTTGAATTTCAAGGTAAGTGAAGCTTTCCATATCAAAACCTGCAAGTTATCAAGGTTCAAATATATTCTTAGATCCATAATGAGACTTCTGTATTACATCTGCTTAACAAGTATTTGAATGTCATTAACCTATCAGCAACACATTTAGTTAAATTAGTATAGAACACAAATGATATATATTGTTACACTAATTACCATACATTTTTTATTGCTGATAGCAGAATTTCATTTCATGAGTAATCGTTAAAAATATTTATGTCCTAATAATTCAAATTGCCCAGTTTTGCAAAACTTAGGCAATAATTTAAAAATCTTTAATTATAAAAATCAACAAATGTTCAAAAGATCCATTTTAATAATTATGAATTATGCAATGAGCCAAAATTTCCCAGTGTGTAAATTACTCTCCACGCTCAGAAGAGGAGATAGAACTGTGAGATTTTTACATCAATAACAGATACATTGTACCCCTAACACATTAGTAGGACACTCTTTGAAAAGAGACAGGAAGATGTATTAGTTGAAAATTTTCTTTTTAAAAAGAACGAAATCATGTGGGAAGATGTTACCACTTTAATTCCAAATTCTGAAAAAGTAGAATACCCAATGGCAATTAGAAACCAGGCTTTTCAATTCTAGTGCATACTAGAGTCTCACAGAGAGCTTTAAAAAAATACAAATGTGCAGACTTTACCCCCTAGGAAATCTAAGTTAACTGGTTTGGATGAAGAGTGGTATACTTTTTTTTTTTTTAATAATTTTATTTATTTATTTTTTTCCGCCAAAGCCCCAGTAGATAGTTGTATGTCATAGCTGCACATCCTTCTAGTTGTTGTATGTGGGACACGGCCTCAGCATGGCCGGAGAAGCAGTGCGTCGGTGCACACCCAGGATCCGAACCCTGGCCGGCAGCAGGGGAGCACGTGCACTTAACCACTAAGCCACGGGGCCAGCCCTGGTATACCTTTTTAAAAGCTCATCTGAGGATTCTAATATGCAGACAGGATTAAGAATTACAGTCATATATAAACTACCAATGATTAATCAGGGACTATGATTATGGAAAGAAAAAGAAAGAATAAGAGAATGGTACAGAGAGTCAAGATACATTTGGTAATACCCTGGCAGATTCCATAAATATGTAAATATTTATTTTTTAATAAATAAATAAATAAATAAAAGCTCTTGCCTAAGACATTCAGGGCCCAATAGAAAGATATTTTTTAAAAAAACAACACAAATGACAATAAAACATGGTAAATGTTGTAAAATTTCATTAAAGAATACAAACAAAATGTTCTGGGAGTTTCAAAGTCACAAAAAATGTTTCTATAGAAAATAATATCAAGATTAAAAAATATAGAAAGACTGAGAAAAAAGAAAACATACATAAGCACTTTTTACTACCACTGACTGGAAAATATATAATAGGTTAATAGCACACAGAAATATCGGACACAAATAAGACTATTCAAATTATTTTTAAATAAGTAGAGATTTGCAATTATAGTAATTTGACTATTAGAAGATTTTGGTGTGAAAGTTCCTTTTAAAAGCATTAGTAAGAACATAGCCAAAAACAAAACTTGGACTAAGAGCTATCAAATGGAAAGACTATTAACAAATCAATCCAATAGAGTCCTTTGGTTATTCTACTGAGAGAAAGATTTCTTATTTTAAGTAAGACTCTATGCTTTTCTAAGATATGCCCCACAAAAATGACTAAACTTTGGTCTCTGGTATGAAAAAAAAAAAGAGAAAAGTGTGTAAAATTCAAGTACAGTATCTCTTTTCTCCCACTGAGAGAGCATAATTATTTTAATAAACTAAGAACAGAGGTTACACCACTAATGCTTATAGTAGACAAGAGACCTATAATACACGTTATCCTAATTGATCAGACAAAAACAAAAAGGGTTCAAAACTAATTCTTATGCTTCCAAATAAAGTTAAACGGCATTAAAAATATCTGTGAAGCTATAAAAGAAAGTAACTGATGATGATATTTATCAACTTTATAGCAAAAGGAATGATAAAGTAAATCATTCAGATAGGATTTGACAGTAATTAAAAAAAAAAAAAACTGGATTACAATATAGCCAGCCTTAAATTATTTAAACTATGAGTCAGTATTCTTCCTTGATGGAAAAACATTTTCTTTTAGAGTATTTTTATCTTTGAAAATTACTTGCATATGAAGGTGTTTATCAGAAGTTAGAAGAAATTCAACACAAGTTCTGATACCAAACTTCTATACAGTTATTACCACACTGGAACTGATATTTGATAGGTAGCTTTACAGAAATGTTTTATATGAAGAATAAATACTCTTTACACATGTGTACGTTCTTAAAAAATAATAGTAGAAAGATATTTGAGCAAAATGTAGACAATCAGAATATTTGGAAATCTTTTTAAAAATCATATACTATTTTATGAACAATATTTTATCCTTTGAGTTAAGATACAAACAAAAAGAGTAAGGTTGCAAATAAATGTAAACTCTTCTTTGGGCTCAAGATAAATATGAGATTATAAAATTTTCATTCTGTCGCCAATAAATCATAATCTACTGGGAATAAATATCCAACCCTGTTCTTAAATTTTTTCCAGATAGCTTTGGATAACTATACATCAACATTATTAGGCATAAACTTATGACTCAAGGAAAATTAAATTAAATAAAATAAACTGCAGGACCTTTGGGGTAAAAATTACAACAGATTTGGATTTTGTGTTTAGCAGGCAAGCAATCAACCTTTGATCCTATTTCTCAGCACTGTTCTATTTAGAGGATAAAGCACTCTATACTCTGTAGAACTGGCTCCCAGGTCTGTTCATCAACATTCATGATATTATATAGTAGAGACAAGTGAAAAACATAGTTTCTGTCATTACAGAAGTCCATTTTTCTAAAGTAGTGACAAAATTTTTATTTTAAAAATATATTCCACACACACGTTCAAAAAAGGGAAATATTTAAAATTTCAGAGGTGAAAGGGAAACTAAAAATCATTTAGTCACCCTGGGTTCCACCCTGGGAAATCTAAAATAGGCTTCAAAGGACTATAGACCACTCAAAATTGATTGCAAAATTTTATATACAGGTATATTTTTATGGAAAGAAGTTCCAATCACAGCTTTCAATAGATTCTCAAAAAGGTTTGTGACTCAGACTTTTTCCGTAAACATCCAAGTCTGCATTAGGTTCCTCCCCTAAGGTTAGAGCTCCATAGTGATCTGTACATTCATCATCATACTGTATAGCATATATTATAACTACCCATGAATTTCTGCCTCCCTGCTCCCGCCAAACGAATTGTAGAAACAGTGAGAGCATAGAGCACCTCGGCTTTGTTCATGGCTATATTCCCAGTATTCTGCCTGGGGTCTGACATGTAATAGGTGATCAACAACCATTTCTTGAATGAATGAATCAATCAATCATTTACGTAATTAAACTTGGGCGAATTTTAAAAAAATGCTTTCTAAATAAATATTCCAATTACATATTCTTAGTCAATAAGAATTTATAATTCAATTAAAATAAACTTATTTTGAAGCTAACTTTTCCAGAATATATTATCTATTGTTTTCCAGAATATATTAAGTATCTATTAAGTTACAGAGCACATCTTCCATAAAACTTCTTTGTAGTTACTCAGTAATGTAAAGTTTGGATGGGTTTATCAGTAGATAGGAACTTCCACAAGGACACTGCAAGCCTGCTTAACTGAATGAAATTTTGATGGTTTGCAATTGGTCTACCTGTAAATTAAACATTTTGACATGATCTCACATAAAATAACTAAAATCCTAATCTTAAAGTATTTTCAAAATAAGAACTTAGGAGAAATTGGGTCTTTTCCATCACCATGTGGAAGTTTTTGCAATGTGATAAACAGACAATGCAAATCAGAAACGAATTTTAATAATTATTAAATTTAAAACCTATTCAAGAACTTGTAAAATGAACTTAATTTTAGATATACTGGTATTCTTTCCTTCACCTTGATCTACTATCTTGACACAATACTACTTGAACATTTTCAAAATGTAATCATTTTCAAAGTCATGACTGACCTTTCATTGATTTCACCTACGACAAAATTTAATCTTGCTTCTCTCTCCAAATGTTTCATAAATATTGGTCTTTACAGTTTTTGTTTGTTTCGTTAAAACTAAAATATCAGAATGATAACATTACTAAACAGATCGATCTGAAATAAAAAATACCCATGTAACTTTAAATATATTCACACTTCTTTGGCTAACATTACACACTAAAATTTATCCTTTAAAAATTTCTAACATTTCTAACAGCTTACATACCGGAAGCTATGAATGCCCTGAAGTTCCTGCTGTAGAACCTCCTGTGTTGTTGCTATTAAGTCCAACGCTCCAACAAATTCAGAAGTAGATAACAACACTTGTACTGTAGGCTGAGTTTGGTGTACAGTGGCCATTAATTTCAGTTTATTGTATACTTTAACACAATTATTTCTGGTAAGTGCCAGTCTTAAAATGTGTAGTGATCCTTCACACATTACTTTATCAATCTGTGCAATTTTATCTCGAAGCATTTTTACAGCCTGGGAAGTTTTCTTGAGGTAGTCCTGCAATTCGTGTTGAGAGGTCATTGCATGAAAAAATGCTTCTGAACGTAGAGAGATCTGGTGAGCAATGTTTACTTCCACGATATCCAGATAATGGCTCAGCTTAAGAGGAAAGGGAAAAAAAATCATGGAGCATTAAAAGTATACCTTCCTTGACTATCCCAATACTTTCTGAAAATGATACAAGATTTCTACATGTATTTTAAATCCCATTTTGTGAACTGTTTGATTATGGGGTCCTTGATATTAAGCATAACAAAATGGAAGGGAGATGAAAGGTACAGCCACTCCAAAGATTAATAAATCTAAGACAAAAGAGCAGAAGGTGATTTACCTTCTTCTGCTCCTATCCTTACTGCCCTCCAAACATCAACTACATTCTAGAAAGTGAGAGTACCCCACAGTCATCTCAGATTATAATCTAGTTTCAGAAATTCTAAAATCTGAGAGAGAATGATCTCCTTAACCCTCACACATCACCAACATCACACATCACCAACATCACACATCATTTAACTGACCGAAAGATGATTAGAGTAACCATTTATTGACCTCCTCCTTCTATATACCAGGCACTGGTATTTTATATACATCACAGATGAGGAAACTGAGGCTCAGAGACATGAAATAACTTGAATAAAGTCATGTAGTTAGTAAGCAGCAAAACTAAAATTTGAACCCAGGTCTCCCTGACTCAAAAACTGAAGCTCTTTCTACTGTACTTTGCTGCCTCAAAATGCTAAGAAATCCATGCAAGACAGATTGGTGGTCCAGTCACAAATTACAGAAAGTATGTATCAGAATTCATTTGGATTTTTTTTCAAGGCTGCTTATTTACATTTCAAAAATTATTTTTCTCAATTTGTAAAACTTAGTTTATTTCCAATGCATTTTCCTCTTAAAAGGTTGACAAATGCCTTAAACAATTAGTTCACGTATATTTTATTTGCAACACTACCAAGATTAATTCCTAACATATATTAAAAATGCTTCCTAATTTCAAATATGAACTTCTAAAACTTGAGTTGTCTTTTCTTCCTTTCTAAATGCACATGCCTTTTTTGGCTATGTTATCTTTCCATTTCTCTCCCACTTTTTTACTTTTAGATTCTTCAACCTATAGCTCAAACTTTAGGCACTATCCCTGAACATCTCAGCAGAATTCATAGCGTTAAAGGGTTAATGGACTTTCAATATTTAGGACTCCTAAAATTAGAAGAGATTACTTGGTCACCAAGCCTCTTTTCTTAAAACCATATAAGATCATGCATTTTTTCAGTAAGGCTCCTCTAATAATCTATTACAATAAATAATAGGTTACAAACAAAAAATTCTTCCAGAGTTTACATCTCTTGAGTTTATACCCTTTTGCTGTTCTTTTCATCTTCAGTATGGCTGTTCATTTGTTTACCTAAAAAGCAATATGGGGACAAAGGTACTTGGGTATGTTGCAAGCTAACATGGACTCAATTTTCAGAAAAGTAAATGGAGAATGGGTAACTCCTTTAGGACAGTGCTGTTCAGAATGCGATTTATATGCTGCTGCCAGTCTGCAAACTATTGAACAGGTTCGTGATAAAATAAGGAACTTGGCTGGAAAGTAAATCAACTACATCGCTAAGCCCACTGCACTGTTTTCATAGAAAGACTTTCTTCATGAAGGAAGCAGTGCAATTTTTTCATTCTAGTGCAAACTCCTTATCTCATCACAGACCAGCACTTTGGGAAGCACTACAATAGGATACAAATTTCCCTAATCCTGGTTGTAGCATCTCCTGTCTTGAAAGCTAAGAAGACAGCTGTTGTCAATCATAAAGTAAGTTTGAGAGTGCTCTCTTGGAATCCTGTCTTCTATTCCTTTTCTTAAGAAGAGAGCAGAATGAGCAAGAGCCAGAGTGTAAATATAACAAACCTGATTCTGCAACTTACCAAAAAAAAAAAAATTCCATTACTTTAGTCATTTTAAAACATTTAGCATGAGAAAATTGTTTCATTTGAATTTCAAAGATTTCTGCAACTTATCAATATTCTACTCATCTATTCTTTTCAAAGGCATATTTTCGTAATTCATTTCCCATTAAAATTCTATAAAGGGAACAACTTTTAAAGTATTCCTAAAAGTATCTGTATAGATTGATGAGATTTTTATTGGCTTTTGTTGTTTTTCTCTTTTAAGGTATTATTCTACCAGGGCATATATTTGAAATGTGAAAAAGCAGTTTGGGAGTGAGCCTGTGTCCATAAACCCATCATTTTCATCAGATTTATGAATCTGTTCTTACTCAAGGAAAACCTTTAGAAGGTGAAAATGTTGTCAAAGGAAAAAGTGAGTTCATTTTCGTTTTCAACTGTGAGAAAAGGAATACTCATGATTCTTTTCCCACATTTCTTCTCCTCTCCTCCCCAAACTAGTTCTTACTTGAGTTACTGAGGAGGGAACCTAATTTATTGAATAGTCTTTCTAAGGCAAGCTTTCAGACTGCCAAAAGATGTCATTAGACTGAAGCAAAACGCTTTCTTCTCAGTTTAAGAACCACAGTCAGTTTTAGAAAAGCTCTAAACCAAGTGCTGAGAAAGAACAGAGATCAAAGGTCTTTACTTCCTAAGCAAGTTTTAAAAGATTCTTGATATGTGAGTTGATATGTTTAAAGTTCTACATTTTTTTTTTTTTTTTGCGAGGAGGACTAGCCCTGAGCTAACATCCGACGCCAATCCTGCCCTTTTTTCTTGAGGAAGATTGGCCCTGGGCTAACATCCGTGCCTGTCTTCCTCTACTGTATATGGGACGCTGCCACAGTATGGCTTAGCAAGCGGTGCATCAGTGCGCGCCCAGGATCCGAACCTGCGAACTCCAGGCCGCCACAGCGGAGCGCATGCACTTAACCACTTGTGCCACAGGGCCGGCCCCTAAAGTTCTACATTTTAAATGACTTTCAAGACACTGACTTCTGAAATATAGAACACTGTAAAATTTTTAAAAACCGTTGACTAACAATATGCTAAAGACTAGGCTTTGCAAAGCTAAAAATACAACAGGAATATTCTATTTTTTAACTATGATGTTTTTGCTTTAAAATAATCATCCTTACTAGGTGTAAATGAGGAAAAATGGTGTATCAGGAAAAGGTGATTTTCTGTGCTTTAAATCATAAAGAATATAAAATTAGCCAATATAGTGCTTGGGATAAATGTAAAGCAATTAATTGTCTTATCTAATATATCTTTTCAACTGAAATTCCATCAATCACTGTTTCAGATAAGAAGCACTCAAACAATAAGCTTCTCCTTTTTCACCAACACAACTTGTATTCCATTGAATCAAAATGCTATTACTTTATCAGTTAAGATTTGAGGGCTTACAATTATCAGTAACAATAAAAATGAAATTAAAAGTAGTGCTTACTAAATAACTAAATCTGAACTCATGAAATAGTACCACTTAACTAGAATAAAGTTCTCTACACGGAAAAAGTAAAAAAGAAATTACCTTTTCTTGTAGCAACTTTGAGGAAGCTGCATCACGATTTCCTTTTCCACCAGCAGTATTAAAATGAGACCATGGTAAAACTGAATTAAAAGTTAAGGAATCATCCAAGGCAAAATCTGGTTTCATAAAAATCTATTAAAAAAATGCATTTCCCTCAATTAGATTACATTTTCTTTACATTCATTATCCCTTCTAATATCATAAGACCATTAAATAATAATTAACTTGGATCTCAAGCATAAAGAGCAAAAGCAAGTGATGACAGGTTGTTACTTACACAAAAATCTGTATAAGAAAAATGTATAAATAATGTTCATCAAGCTAAAAATCCTCATGAAAGATAGAAAAATGTTTTTTTGCCTTTACCAGTGGAGATGATCATTCCATTACTACTTGATCAAACTCACTAATACAGTCCCATTGGGCACATACCAAAGAGAGAGAACATACTTATCCTAAAATTTCCATATTATTTACCACTGATAGTGGTTTTTAAAAAATGCCAAATATCAATTTCTCTATATTTATATTTCTATTTTCTCCTGCTTAAAATTCTTTCAAAATTAGTTTTTTAGATTAGACATACACTAAATTTCAAAACCAAAGCAAATTCAATTTTATTAAGAGCCTCCTCTTTTTCCCTTACATATCACATCCATCTGGGCACTAACTCCTAATCATTATATTTCCTAGATATCGCTTGCATCTCCTCTCTCCTCTATCTCCACAGCATTTCATTAGCGCAGTTCTTCATTATCTCTGGATTACAGTAAATGGCTACTTACTGATGTCCTTCCCCAATCTATACCCTATATTGTTGTCAGATATGCCTTTAAAATGCAAGTATAACTGAATTAACATCTCTGTTTAATTCTCTCAGTGGATTAGCATGACCCCAAAGACCAAACTCTTTAAAGTGGCATCAAAAGCCCTTCATTTTTTTGGACCCACCTACCTCTGTATCTTGCCACTCTCACTATTTACAAGTAACATTCTAGCAATACTCAACCGTCTTTCATACCCTCTTATGCTTAAGCATCTTTATACATCCTTTTGGCCTAGAATGCCCTTTCTTGTCTATCTTCCTAGAGAATATGACCCAATCTAAAGGACAAACATGTTTCTGTATATGACACAGAGATTAATCATCCCATTTCTAAACACAAGTATATCATGTGTACTTATCTCATAATTAAATGAATATGTATAGCTCCCTCTGGAGACTATATGTTCCTGTAAGACTGGATTTATAGCTTACTAATCTTTGTATCCCCAGGACCTAGCATAAGGTCTGAAACATGGTTTAATCAATTAATTACTTAATTTCTATGCTATATTTTATTATATTTACTGATTCACTTTACCTAGATCTAAAAATGAGTATGAATGTGATAGGGAAAATCTAACTAGGGACATGAGTATATTTTCTAATCCCAGCTTTAATATAATTGAAAGTATTGATTAATTCAATAAGTATTTACTAATTCTGTAACTCTTATGGTAGGCACTGAGGGGGAAACAAAGATAAATTATTACAGAGGTCCTAATCTCAAGCATCTTTAGTCCAAGGGATATGATAAAATATATACATAAATATCTTATAAGGGGAACTGTGACAAATGCCTTAAAAGGGAAGGCAGGGGTCTAAATAAAATGCTATGAGAATTCGGCAAAGGGGACAATTATCTTCAGTTGGGAGGAAATATATTCATGTAAAGTTGCCATTTAAGCAAAAGATTGTAAAGGATTCAGTATGGGGAGATGAGGGAAAAGTCTTCCAGGCTAAAGGAACAGTGCAACTAAAGCACAGAGCCAGCAAAAAAGTTTAGCTGAAGTAAAGAAATGTTTAAAGATTACTAGGCAAAAGTTAAGAGTGTGACTATGATGGAAACGAATAATTAAGGCCCTTAAATGACAGAGTTTGAATTTTGTAGGAATCAAAGAACTTTAAAAACAACCACCCTTTCCTTTTTGTTTCTGTCTTTCATCTTTCTTTCTCTTCTCACCCTAAAGAGCAATTATCACAGACCTCTTTGAGAATCTGATGAATGCAATGGACTCCTTACCCAGAAAAAAAAAGAAAACCTCATCTATTACACACCTCTACAAAATTTTTCACTGAAAATTTTTCAGATTCAAAAAGAAATTTCATTTCAAAGAAAACATCTCAGTAATTTGAAGGAGTAGTAAGAGCAATAAAATTCTTTTTTAGGATGGAGAGACAAACATATTGCTAGGTTTCGGTGATAAAGAAGAGATTGATGAGGCAAAAGAGAGAGAAAAGAAGTGATGCAACAAAGTCTCAGAAGAAGCAAAGTGGTCAAAGTGTCAAAAACCAGCCAAATGAAAGCTTCTGACAAGGCAAAATTAAAGATAAAATATTAAAAAGCAGTATTCTCATTTTTTAAGCTTTGTTACCTTAGGTACTTGCTCCAGATCTGTCCTAGATTTATCTATGAAAAAAAGGAAAAGGAAAATATAATTGTTTAAACTTGTTTTCATTTTACTTCCATAAACTTTTATTTTGACAGATTCAATACCATACTAGGTCACAACCAAGTAACTCTTTAAGTTTCTTCCTTCAACAAGTTATCTGTCAAGCACCTCCTATATGTCTAGCAGTAGGCAAAACACTGAATAAGACCTGTTTCAAATAATTTTAATCAATTGTCTAGTAGCGATAAAACAACTAAATACATTTCAAGTCTTTTTTAAATGGATACAGAAAGCTTGATGTTATCCTATTAAGTTTTGGTGAGAATAAGTTTGGCATGCTATGTAGTTGTAAAAAATAAACTAAATTCTAAAATAGGAATACTGTTTTTATTGTTCAAAATATCCACCATTCCATTCAGAATTTCTTATAATCAAAGATTTTTTTAATACCATATAAATTTTCTTCTTAGACATCTTAGTTTGTATCATCTGTATTTACCTGCAAATCAACCTACTTTACCTTCATCTCGCCAACTGGATCTCAGACAAGATACCCTCCTTTCCAAAACTAACCTCTCTGCACTTGGACTCTAGCCCCTCCTGCCTCTTCTGTGAGCTCACTTCATCAATTACCCTGCCTCTCTCCATATCTTCAATGTCTCCCCTTCTAATAGCTCTTTCCTTTTTGCACATAAACATGTTCAGTTTTCCCCATTAAAAAAAAAAAAAGATAAAACCCCCAGGGCCCAGACTAGATTGAAGCAAGGGAGGACCTCGGATGCAAAATTTAAGAAAGCACTCAGTCTCAGTTGTGGAAGTACCTCTCTTGCTTCATCTAATCTTGGCCATGCAAAAACATTCTTTCACTCTGTTCCCTCTAGTCAATACCTATATCTCAGATCTTCAAGTCACATCCATACTGGTAGTCTCCATTTCTTTCTCTTGTACTCACTCCTTAATATACAGTATTGAGGTTTCTCTAATCACCAGTCCAGTCTAAATGCTCTAAGATCTCCTAAATTGCCAAATCCACGGAGACTTCTCAGTGTGCAAAATGAGCTATCCCTGAATTTTTCTGACATTGTAGACTAACCATTCTCACTACTTTGAAACTCTCACTACTCTTCATTTCTAAGGTGGAACTCTCTCTTGGTTGACTCTCCTATCTCTCTGACTCTCCTGTCTCTCCTATCCTCTCTCTTGGTTGACTCTCCTATCTCTCCTATTTATCTCCTTCACAGGTACCTCATTTTCTATCTGCCTCTTAAATGTGACAACTTCCTAGTGTTTATCATCCTTTCCGTCTCACTATTCACCTCCTCCCTGGGTGATCCCATCTGTGCCCTTGGATTCAACTACCATGCTATTGTCTAGCATATTGTCTATGATAATGTCTACCATACCTACATCTCCTGCCCATATCTCTTTCCTGAGCTCTGGGTTGCAGACCAGACATCTCCTTCTCTGCAAAACTGCAATTAAACCAGCCTCCACCTCTTCCAAAGTTCCTCCTCCTATATTGCACCTCTCACCTAGCCAGCTGCCCAAGCAAGAAATCTGGGAGTCATCCTTGAATTATCTTGCTCCATTACCAACAACTGACTGACCAACAAAACCTGTGGCTTGATCACTGAGGTATCTCTCAAAGGCCTAATTTCCTCTCCATCTTCATTATAACTGCTGTTGGAGCCATATGATTTCTCACTTGTATTACTGAAATAGCCTCCAACCGTCTCCTTGCCTCCAGTTTTAACATCATCCATAAATTTATTATCCATAACTGTTTTCACAGTGAAATGGATAATCATAAATCTGATCATGTCTGGTCAAAAATATTTTGCAGCTGTATATTGCTTTTAGAAAAGAAAAATTCCTTAGCATGGCATACCAGGTTCTTTGCGATCTGACTCCTACCTATTTCTTCAGCCTCATTTCTTGCTCCCAGTGGAGCCAACATACTGAACTCTTGTGGTTCCTTGAACACGCTAACTTCTCTCTGACTCTATGGCTTTGCATAAACTATTTCCTTTTCCTGGAATGCATTTTCCCACAACAATCTTTCTCAACAGCTAGTTCAGAACACAAGCAATCATCATCAATACTAGGAAGACTTCTAAGGCTAAGTTAGGAGCTCTATACAATCTTACCACACTGACTTACCACTTGATACACAGTGCAGTAATTGTTGGTTTATTTATTTAGCCTTACTTAGGAGACTATTGGCTTCTTGAGGACATGGACTATTTCTTATTCATCTATTTTTCAGCAAAAAGCAAAGTACCAAGCACCGATATATTAAATAAGTATTTCTTGAACTGAAGGATAACATTACCATCAGACCCATGATTTTTCTCTTAAAAGCTTATAGAAAAGATTATGATCATAGACTATAAAAATTTCACTAGAAATAAAAATTATAGGTATGACAGACAGTAAGTTCCAAAAATTCAGATTTTATTCACTAATATTTATGCTATGCTACAAATAGCACATATTCATCTAAATATTATCTACAAATAGCACATATTCATACCATGAGTATGTAAGAGAGTCCTGTCAAAGGTATCTTTAGGAGGACAAATATTCTTGCATCTCTCATGAATCTTCTCTCTCTAATAAAAAGACACAATGTGATCAATGCTATGTGGCAATATGAGTATTCAAAGCATCAAAATGTTTCACAACAGAGTATCAGAATATACCAAATTAGTTCTACAATTTTTAAATAAAATCACTAGCCTCTTGGACTTAAATAGAAACTAGTATGTTTAATAAACCAAATACCAATGAGATGTATAAACACTTATATACCTAAATTCATCCCATTTTACATAATTACAGTACAATCTCCATAAATTTGGAGTGAAGTGGGAAAGCAAATGAAAAATTCTTATTTATATAACAGAAATCAATTAAGAGAATACGTTTTTTAAAACAAGGAAGAGTGACATCAGCATCTGGTGGAGTGAGTTTTTCTCGTAGACTCTCCTCCAATAAGATACAACAAAAACGCCTTTCGCATGCCAACAAAGGACACTCACACAACATAAAAAATATCTGAGAGACCCATGCAGATGTACATTTGAAGGTGAAGGTGTTGGAACCCCCGGAGGAAGTGGGGAGAGGTAAGGAGAAACCCTCCCCCTCCCTATTCAATCAGTGACTCCAGGTCTGCGAGGCTCCTGGGGGGCAGGGGGCCGGGGGGTGGGGGTGGGGGTCAGGTGGCCCTCTGTGGGAAAACCGTCACTCTCCAAGTTCTCTCACAGCCTCTGGGAAATTCCCATATGGAGGAGACGGATCTGTTGTGGGGGTGCCATCAACATCTGAGCACCCCAGGAGAGCAGACAGCCATGAAAGAATGAGAAGCCCACAGGATCGGGTAGGCAAAAGAGAGCCGTTCCCCTCCCCGCTGCCGGAACTTCAGCACAGAAGTGGAGCAGCCAGAGTACCCGCGGATCACAGTAGGCTCAGAGTACACAGCTCTTGACCCCCACCCAGTGGCAGCAGGTGGAAACTGCGACCAGATATTTTTAGGATGAGGAAAAACAAGCCAACATCAGCAGGCATGATGCAAAAATATATTAAATCTCCAGACCATAAGGAAAATGACAAGCACCCAGAAATCAACCCTGAAGGCACAGAAATTTATAATCTAAAGGACAGCTATCATGAAAAAGCTCAACAAATTACAAGAAAACACAGAAAGACAATTCAATGAATTCAGGAATTTCTTCACAAAAGAGATTGAAACCATAAAGAAAAACCAATCAGTAATGTTGGAGATGAAAAACACAACAGAGGAGATAAAGGAAAATCTGGAATCTTTAAAGAACAGAGCTGACAACATGGAGGAAAGAATTAGCATTATTGAGGATAGGAATGCAGAAATGCTCCTGACAGAGAAGAGAGAACTAAGATTAAAAAGAAATCAAGAAATTCTCCAAGAAATATCTGACTCAATTAGGAAATGCAACATAAGGATTATAGGGATTCCTGAGGGAGAAGAGGGGGAAAAAGGAATAGAGAGCTTGTTCAAGGAAATAATAGCTGAGAACTTCCCAAATCTGAGGAAGGAGCTAGAAATACCAGTGGATGAGACCACTGGTCTCATCCCAGCCAACAGATCACCTAAATATATCAACATTAAAAGACCCTCTCCGAGGCATATAGTAGTAAAGCTGGCAAAAGACAATGACAAAGAAATAATATTAAGGGCAGCGAGACAAAAAAAATAAATAACATACAAAGGAAATCCCATCAGGCTCTCAGCAGAATTCTCAACAGAAACTTTACAGGCTAGGAGAGACTGGAATGATATATTCAAAATACTGAAAGACAAAAACTTTCAGCCAAGAATACTCTATCCAGCAAAAATATCCTTCAAATATGATGGAGAAATAATAACTTTCCCAGATAAACAAAAGCTAAGGGAGTTCATTGCCACGAGACCCCCCACTACAAGAAATGCTCAACAAGGCCCTCGTGCCCGAAAAAAGAACGAGAGGGGATACAAAGCTTCAAGCAAGGAGAAAAACAGGTAGACAAAATCAGAAAACTTGCAGCTCTCTCTCAGAATAGGTTAGCAAACACTTAATTATACAATCAAAGATTAAGAGAAGGAAAACACCAAAAATAAATATAACCTCATCACTTTAAACACACACTCACAACACAAGATGGAATAAATTGTGACAATAATAACTGAGAAGGGGAAGAGGAAAGGGATCGAATCGACTTAGTCTAAGGAAATAAGAGGTCATCAGATAATGGCCTATCTCATCCACGAGATTTTTATAAACCTCAAGGTAACCACTAAACAAATAATCAGAACAGAGTCACATAACGATAAATAAAAAGAAAACTAAAAGAGTCATTATTCAGAACAAACTGACTGGTAGTCTGAAACACATGGGACAAGAAACAAAGGAAATGCAAAAGAACCGGGAAATGAGTGAAAAAATAGCAACATTAAGCCCTCAGATATCAATAATCACTCTAAATGTAAATGGATTGAATTCTCCAATCAAACCACACAGCGTGGCAGAATGGATTACAAAGCAAGACCCAACAATATGCTGCCTCCAGGAAACACATCTCAGCTCTAAAGACAAACACACACTCAGAGTGAAAGGATGGAAGACAATACTCCAAGCTAATGACAACCAAAAGAAAGCAGATGTTGCCATACTTATATCAGACAAAGTAGACTTCAAGATAAAATAGGTAATGAGAGACAAAGTGGGGCAATATATAATGATAAAAGGGACACTGCACCAAGAAGATATATCAATTATAAATACATATGCACCCAACACAGGAGCTCCAAAGTACATAAAGCAACTATTAACAAACCTAAAAGGACATATTAACAACAACACAGTAAGAGCAGGGGATCTTAACACCTCACTTACATCAATGGACAGATCATTCAGACAAAACGTCAATAGGGAAATAGTGGACTTAAATGAAAAACTAGACGAGATGGACTTAATAGACATATACAGAGCACTCTATCCAAAAACAGCAGACTACATATTCTTCTCAAGCACGCATGGAACATTCTCAAGGATAGACCATATGTCAGGAAACAAGGCAAGCCTCTATAAATTGAAGAAGACTGAAATCACAACAAGCATCTTTTCTGACCATAATGCTATGAAACTAGAAATCAACTACAAGAAAATAACTGGGTAAGCGACAAAGATGTGGAGACTAAACAACATGCTACTGAACAACCAATGGATCACTGATGAAATTAAAGGAGAAATCAAAAAATATCTGGAGACAAATGAAATGAAAATACGCCATAGCAAATCATATGGGATGCAGCAAAAGCAGTCCTGAGAGGGAAACTCATAGCAATACAGGCCCACCTTAACAAACAAGAAAAAGCCCAAATAAGCAACCTTAAACTGCACCTAACAGAACTAGAAAAAGAAGAACAAACAAAGCCTAAAGTCAGCAGCATGAGAGAAATAATAAAAATGAGAGCAGAAATAAATGAAATTGAAACCAAAATAACAGTAGAAAGGATCAATGAAA